CGTCCTTTAACGTATCTAATTCGCTTTTAAATTTACTAATGTTTTCTGTTTATACTTCTTGTTTCCTTTCTTTTTCCAGTTGCCACTGCTGCAGTCTCTCTTCTTGTTTCTTTTCTCGTTCTTCTTGTTTATTTTCTTTCTCCTCTAACAACTGCTGTAACTTCTCTTCTTGTTTATTTTCTTTCTCCTCTAACCACTGCTATAGTCTCTCTTCTTGTTTATTTTCTTTCTTGTCCAACCACTGCTGTAGTCTCTCTCATTTTTATTTTCTTTCTTGTCCAACCACTGCTGTAGTCTCTCTTCATGTTTATTTTGCTGTTCGAGCTGCCATTGTTGTAGGTTTTCTTGCCACTGCTGTAATCTTTCTTCTTGTTTCTTTTCTCGTTCTACTTGTTTCTTTTCTTTTTCCTCTAACAACTGCTTTAATCGTTCTTCTTGTTTCTTTTCTCGTTTCTTTTCTTGTTTATTTTCTCGTTCTTCTTGTTTCTTTTGCTGTTCTTGTATTGTTGCCATCAAGTCTGCTAAGCTTTAGTTTGATTTTCCGCCTCTTGTTTCCATCTTCTTCTTCTTCTTTTTTTTTTTTGTTTGTCCCACTCTCTGACACCAATTTGTTACGCCTCCAGTCTTTAGTTAATTTTCCGTAAATTTGTTCCGACAAAACTTTAGCGACACAAGTCCTTTCTTAATAAAACTGGTTTATTCTTTCTGAATATAACTTTACCTTCATTTTGTTCATATATGGAACATAATACTGAGAGAGGTTTTGAGTGCTGTCAAAATAGGTTTTATCATTGTCTTTTTTTTTTGAGTGGGCTTGTGAACAAGAAATATTGCATTTAATTCCATAGCAATATTTTTGTATTTGATGAGTGATTTCAAAAGGTCAAACTTTATATTGTTACGCCTCCAGTCGTCAGTTAATTTTCCATAAATTCGTTCCGACGAAACTTTAGTGACACAAGTCCTTTCTTAAATAAAACTGGTTCATTTTTTCTGAATATAACTTTGCAATACACTTAATTTCAACTGTCGCGCTATAACAAACGAACGTCTCACGTGCTCAACAATATTCTCTCTGACTGCAGTTCAATTACTCATCGTTCCGTCACGTTGTGATCGTCTTATATATACCAGACTACCCCCAATCTAGTAGTCTCCCGACAATTCATGAAGGAACAGGATATTTCTAGAAGGAGATGGCGAGATACTAGTCACGTGACCTCGCTGACGCAACGATATGTTTCAAAATAAGTTGTAATCTTTTCACTTTATCTTTGAAGATGATGTTCTCTTTTATGTATTGGTAAATACATATGTTTATATTTTGTTTTCAGAATATGGAAACTGGTAGTGTTGGTAGAGCTGTTTATGAATTCAAGACTGATATTGAAGGAGAACTACCTCTTGAGGTTGGAGATGTTGTACAGGTTCTTCAGGTTGTAGACAAGTACTGGCTGTATGGTGTGTCCAACAAAGGAACTGGCAACTTTCCTTCTGGATTTGTCTTGAAATTAGAAGTTCCCCCAGTTGCAGAAGATCAGCAGTTGTTTGCTGCCATGGAATCCTTTGCTGCTCAGTTGGAAGATGATTTGGAGTTTAGAAAAGGTTAGGAGGGTGTATTTGGACATTAAACCAACAATCGATGTTACCTATCATCTGCTTATTTGTAATTTTACTTTGAATTTAAACAGTAATTTGTTTATAAATCTCTTAACTCTATATTGCCTGTTCCATAGTTATGGATGTAAGATTAGAAGGACAAATCTTTTATGACATCTTTATCATGCAGATCCCTAAGTAAGCACATTTCAGAAAGTTCATGGCTACTGCAAGTTGCTTTAACAAGTTGTTGATAATAAACTATACACAGTAATTCTATGAATTGGTAATCACCATGAAACAATGTGGGAAAAAATCAAACCTGTGCCTAGCTGTATTTAACCACAATTGAACTTTTAAATGTTTTTCAATTATTTGCTACAAATGTAAAAAAAATGTTATAGATGTTAGTCACCATTATGAATGTTACATCATCCCAGGAGTGAATATAGTGTACATGTCCTTGTATCAGGAACAAAAAATAAATGTTTCTCAAAAAGACTTCAAATTACTAACACTACAAAATGAGGGGTCTGTTACTCTTTAACATAGCTTATTAGTACAAACAAAACAGAATGATGATGATTATACCAAAAATTAAAAGAAAGGAAAAAGTTAAAAAAACACCCGCACCTTAGTGTGCGTTTGACTTATGACACTTTTTAGACATTCATTTGTTTTTGGTGTAGAGCTGGGTAATTAGTGAAGTTTCTTACTGATTAATTGTCAGGCTCATTAATCGATTATATTCAGCTAATTGACCATTTTCACAAGATGGTTAAAACAAAGAAAAACATTGAACATAATTTGACTAAAGAAACCCATTGTGTAGCTTTGTGCTTAACAACAAACAAATATAATAGTAATATTTCAATTACTTGGATAGTTGTAATAACCAAAAACACTAATTTTTATTATTTGGGTATTTTTGATTACTGAATAATAGAAATATTTGGAAAGTGTATTTGATTCAGTCATGATTTCCATTAATAGATTATTTCATGTGATATTAATCAATTTAAAACATGCTCATGAGTAATTGATTATATTGATCAATTGAGTTAATCACCAAGCTCTAGTCTGGTGCCAGTGGGCACTTTGAATTTCATCTTACACAGTTGTGTTCTTTTTCAGAAAAATCCAAATGAATGACAGCTGTTTTACCACTTAGATATATTTTGTCTTCTTCAAATGAAGTATCATGGTTTTTCTTAATAACAATGATGAATATGTCAATAGCCTTTACAATCGGGTTGTAAAGATCTACAACTGAACCATGTTTGAACAATTTCAAAATTTTGTTTTCAACAGCGTCCCACTTGCATCCATCTGTTTCCAGGTCAGAAACCTCATCATTCAAAGAAAATTTCTACGTGAACAGTTTACCATTGCTACAGGATTAAAACTTATTCATTGTGCAGTTTCCATTTCCTACACTTCAGATGACAGATTCTACAAAACCTTTTTAGGATGGAATTTTTTTCATAATGTTTGTGAATTACCTCAAATAATTGTATCATACTCTTATGGTACATATACCGACCAAGAAATGTGATGTTTGATTCATTAAGCAGGTCTAAAAATTTTTTTCCTGTCAATTTCTTCTGTAGAATGAGTGGACCTAAAGTTTCACTCATCCTGCTTTAATTCTTACTTGTCCTGGATATCCTGCTTTAATTCTTGTCCTGGATTTTTCAGTTATTTACAGTATTGTAAGTAAATAAATACTGTGAAAAAGTAGGACGTGTAATTCAGCAAAGTACTAAGAAACTGACTAAAACAAAGAATGTGTACAGTGGAGAATAAAATTTTTATTCTTCTTAACTTTGAACACTTCAATGCAAATAGTATTGTATATAACTTTTTAACAATGGATACTTATGTCTGTATAAATTCAACAGTTTTTCACCATTTACTTTGACTCGCTTTCATCAGATGTAGCCTGTCTACCAGCTGTTTGATTATGATACTTTTCCTTAGGACCAGAGCATTTTTGGCATTTGGTATGTCTTTTTGTTTTGCCATTGATTAACCCTTTCACAATGTTTCTTGAGTTAGAGATGTCCTTCTCCTTGTCTTAATGTTATTAAGTTGATTAAATACCTTTTCACATTCTGCTCTTGATGGAGAAATTGTCAACATAATATTTACTAAGGGGTTTTAAATGCTTAGTATCCTTGTTATCCAAAATGCTTTTATATGCATCTATAACAAGTCTGCTGAAATTTCAAGTCCAACAAATCTTCCAAAGCAAATTTTATCTCTGTAGCCACTTAACTCTTCAGGACTATTATCCTTAATTGGCCAAAGGTGAAAATCGAATGTGTTGAACAGAGTGTGTGGGTCTCTTCCAAGGTGTTTTATGGTAATCTCTTTCAGGCAAGACTTGGCTGATGACAACAGCTCATCAGTGTCAGCATTTATTTACTCTTTTGTTTAATGGTGTCTTTTTTTTCTGAGCCTAGTTACATTCACTATTATAAATGTAATATCCTCAACATTTTGCCTTGATTCTTGTGTTTAGAGGTTTTTACTTCAGTTCATTCACCCTCTTTTCTACTTTAGAAATCAGACTTTTCTTATTTTGATAAGAGACAGAAACTTCCGACAAGAAATTTGGTCAGTCTATCATTTAGTGTAAGAAGGTTAAAAATCTCTGTATTCAACTCAATTAAGTAGCCCCTTGCTTTCTATGCATTGTTATATTTATCAGTGGTAGTGATGTTCAAAAAATGTATGAGTGTAAACTCATGTTTGTTAAAGAGAGCTTTCAGTGATCTGTTCTGGTTTGTTACCCAGTGTATTTGTTGACCACAACCAAAGTGCATTAATTCTTGATACAATGAAACTGCAATTTCATAAAGTTCTCTCCTGCATTTTGGTAAATAATAATACAGCTTTCAAGACATTCTCAAATTCATCCAGATACTAACAACCCATTTTGTAGGACTAATCATCTTGGAAAACTGAATGATTAATTTTTTGTTGCTACATAATATTAGTAAGTTGTGTTAAATAATTTTTCATATATAACACTTTTTTTTTTTTTTCATCCAGTCTCATTACACTTTTTGCTAGCTGTGTTTCTTTGGGTTTGTCTAAAACATTTCAACATTTAATACATATAATTTATTTGGCATTCTATTGTTATGTTCAAAGTTTCTTCTGTGTATTTTGCACTCTTGCCTTTAACTAGGGATAAGTCAGTATCAGAAAGTTCTGGAAATTGTGTACAATCATGATAGAACATCTTATCATTCTCAATTTTCACCCAAGTAAGTTCTTCTAACCAGCTGTTTTTTTATTAATCTTTTTTTTTTTTATGATATGTCTTTTGGCAAAATTTTCTTTTTTTTTTCCACTTTGGGCCTTTCTTTTTCTTTCTGCTTACCACCTTGTAAATATTTTCAAATTTCTGACATTTTTAATGGTTTAATTCTATTTATCAAAAGTATTGTATTTTAAAATATATCACAAAAGATTTTTTATAAAATATTTTTCTAGCTACTGTTGCATGTTATCTAAGATAGTAATAATCTCTCTTCTGGCTCTTAAGCTGATGTGATCCAAATTGATAAGAATACTAGATTAGGTGCAAATTGTAAACTTCTTTTTAAAAAAGTAAAAGAGGCTGGTTGCAAAAAGAAAAGACAAATAATTTTAGCCATGAATTGTTTAACATAAAAAATAAAAATTAGAATGTGTATCAAAGAAAAATAAGGTTGATTTACAGTGTTTAATAACACTGACTCTGTAGTTGAAAGTTTGCCAAATGTAACATTTTTTTAAATCTAAATATATCACGTGTACATGACATGTTTGTCATGCACTGATATGGTATTTGTGTAATTGTGATAAGAGAACAAACCATTTACAAATATACAATGAAACCCAAATATCAGTGTTTACTGTACTGTATGTATAATCATTGTCATTTCTATAATTGAAAACTACTTGTAACTTACGTTGCTGTATTTTGTGTATATCTATCATAAAACCAGAAGTGTGTAGTTATTTGTCTTAGGTGATCATTATATCATCAAAGTGACTATTTGTGTGACTCAATGATCACATGAAAAAAATCAAGAATTTCAATTTGGAAAACTAAAAATTTGGTAAGAATTGTGTATATATAATTAAAACTGAAGGAGAAAAGCTATTACACCATAAACTACTGCAAAAAAGTTTAGTTGCTTTAGCTATAATATGCTTTTATATTAAATGTTTTTTTTTGTTGTTTTTTATCTATAAATCTGTGTAGTTATTATCATGTTTCATGGAAAGCATAACATATGTTTTTAACCAAAAACTAGATCAAGATTTTATGCCATATATATTTAAGTTTGTGTCATAAGTATATCCTCAAAACCCACAACATTATGTTTAAATTGAACCTGATTATTTTAGTGTTTGTAACTTTATAGTGGTTTTAATTTATCTAAATTCCTTAATTACTACTTTAACAATTAGAATATTCTAGATTTTATGAATTTATAAAGTACAAAATATACTGCCCTTTCAGTTTAATTAGTGAATTAGTTATCTGTCTATGTTATTAATGTTTTGAGATACAGTTTGTTTAAGGGCTTATTCGTGCTGAAAATGAAATGAAGAGTTGTACAAACAACTTGTTTGTTTTGGTTAGAAGTATATATAAACATGGCAGTAAATTAAAATGATTAAATATTTTTAAAAAAGTCTTAAACTCACCTTGTTAAGTTACTTATTTTGTATATACCTTTAATATTTGTTTTACTGTGTTTGATTACATACATAATTCTTGATATAACTATAGTATTACTTAAATTACAAAGTATGTGCAAGTCATTGAATATTTTTTAGGCATTAAAAACATTGAAAGGTCAAATTTTTTCAAGTTTTCAAACTGACTAGTAAATTGCAGTTTCTGAATTTTGTTTAGTATTTATTCACTTTGTATTGCAATCTTTGTTTTGTGATCAAATTTAAATTGTTTTTGCATACCATTTATGTTACAATAATAGTTTATCATGAATGTTAAATAGTATTTATTCATGTAAAAGCTTGCATTTAATTGGAAAATTATTCAGATTTATACTTTTGTGTCTCAAACTTTAAGAATTATGTGATTCTAGAATCTTATATACTTATAGAATTTATATTTTAAATTACTTATGTCATACCTCTTTGTGTTTCAGGAGATTTAATTATTGGTGAGTATCCATTGGACAGCAACTGGTGGCATGGTCAATGTAATGGTCGAAGTGGTATCTTTCCACTAACACATGTATGGAAGCTTGATATGTCCAGCTTAAAACCCACTGCAAAACAAAAGAATGTATGTTTTAAAGTAAGAATTAAGATGGATATGAAAGCACAATTGCCAGAAGAAATGGATCTCAAGAAAGGAGAGATCATTACAGTTACTGAAGTTGTGGATAAGTGGTACAGGTAATTCTTAGACCTTACTTAGTATGATACTTTGTTTGGCTGGTTAGGTTTAGTAGATGGAGTGGTGACCTCAGTGAGCAATGACTCCCTGTCAATTTGTTCTTTTGTGTGCCCTTTTGTGGTCAGTCTTATGTATGTGAATTATAACCATTAACATTTCTATCAGCATGTTATTGCTATTAGCTATTTTATATATATATATTATATATTATATATACTATACACACTACA